TTCAATATGGACGGAGACAGGGCACCAGGGCCAGACGGATTCCCTCTTTTCTTCTATTAGATTTGCCGGAATACCATAAAACAAGATCTGCTAGAGGTCTTTAAAGATTTTTACCAATCGGCCATAGTGAATAAGGGAAATAACTCCAACTTCATATGTTTGATCCCAAAAAAGCAAGAAACTCCTAAAGTGAAAGATTTTAGACTAATCAGTTTAGTGGGAAGTGTTTACAAAATTCTAGCAAAGGTGTTGGCTAGGAGATTGAAGGAAGTTCAAGGTGAGATCATCTCGCCTAACCAATTTGCATTTGTAAAAGGAAGGCAAATTGTTGATAGCATTCTGATAGCAAACGAATGCGTGGAAGAGAGGAAAATGAATGGTAAGCTGGGGATGATTGTGAAGCTAGACTTGGAAAAAGCATACGACAAAGTGGATTGGGAATGTCTATTAGAAACCCTAAGGCTAATGGGGTTTGGAAGAAGATGGATTCAGTGGATGGGGGGATGTGTTAAATCCACGTGGTTCTCAGTTCTAATCAATGGACAACCTAAAGGCTACTTCAAGGTTAGTAGGGGTTTAAGGCAAGGATGCCCCCTTTCCCCCTTATTTTTCACTCTTATAATGGAAATTTTCAGCCAACTGGTGAAGAAGGCAAATCTGTTAGGGTTGGTGAGGGGTTTTAAAGTTGGAAGAAATTCAATTCAGATGGCACACCTTCAATTTGCAGACGACATTATGATGTTTTTAGAGGCCAAAGAAGACAATGTTGTCAACTTGAAAAGGATCATAATCTGTTTTGAATGGATTTTGGGGCTTCGAGTTAACTTTTCTAAGATCAGTATTGCATGGATGAATATAGCAAATGCCCAATCCCTAAACAATTTCAAGGAAAATCTTGGCTAAAAAGTTGAAAGCCTCCCTTTCTATTATCTTGGAATGCCTCTTGGAGGAAACCCGAAGACACAAAGCTTTTGGGATCCTGTTATAGAAAAATGTGAAAAAAAACTGGCCACGTGGAAAAGGGACTACCTGTCCAAAGGTGGGAGACTCACCCTAATCAAAGCCTCTTTGACAAATCTGCCCACATACTATCTCTCATCCTTTCGAATGCCAACCAAATTTGTCAATCAGCTGGAAAGACTTCAAAGAAATTTTCTGTGGGAGGGAAGTGGGGAAAAGGGATCCCATCTTGTGAATTGGTCCCAAGTGTGCAACTCTAAGGAGGAAAGTGGTTTGGGAATAGGTCATTTGAGAGAAAAAACACAGCTCTTCTGAGCAAATGGCTGTGGAGATTCCCTCATGAACCGGATGCCCTTTGGACTGAGGTCATCAGCAGCAAGTACGGGAAACATGCAAACAGTTGGGATTGCAGGCTGCACTTGAATCGGATCAAGGACATAAACCCTTGGAAAGGTATACTCTCGACCTACCAAAATTTCATTTCCTTTATCAGGTACAAAGTGGGAAATGGGGATAAAATAAAATTATGGACTGATGTTTGGTGGGGTGACTCTACTATGGCTGAATCTTTTCCTCGTCTCTATAGCCTTACCCGAAATAAAGAAGCTCCCATCTCCCTTGTCCTATCCTCTCATCTCTCCCAGTTCAACTGGAACCTAGACATTAGAAGACCTTTGACAGAAAATGAGCTTGAGGAAATATCTAGATTCCTTTACACTCTCAGAGAAGTGTACCTTTCCCCAAACACCCCTGACACTCGAGTCTAGACCCTACACCCAGCAGGTAAGTTCTCAACCAAATCTTTCTTCAGGGCTCTAATCAAGAAGAATTAGGTATCTCATCTTTTCCCGTTTAAGACAGTCTGGTGCACACGCATTCCCTCCAGAGTTTGTTTTTTTGCATGGGAAGCCAGTCTGAAGAAGATCAGCACTATGGATCTTCTCCAGAAAAAGAACCAAGGAAGGTCCTGTCTATCCCCTCATGCTTTCTGTTTGTGTTTAAAAGCCAGGGAATCAGCCAATCACAATATGATCCACTGTGAGGAAACCAGAAAATTCTGGAGTTTCTTCCTCAACCTTTTTAATTTTAGTTGGGCTTTCCCTGAAAATGTGATAGACTGTCTCAGACAATGGGCAGCAAGAAGTTTAAGCAAAAGAGGAAGGATCCTTTGGATTTCCGTAGTACATGCCATCCTATGGAGAATTTGGGAAGAAAGAAACAACCGAATCTTCAACAATAGAGAAAGGAACTTCGAGGAGCTTGTCTATCATCTCCCATAGAATCTCCGTTTGGACCGCCAGCTCAGAGTACTTTAAAGGGGTTCCTTTTTCTGACCTCCAAAGAAATGCTGCAGAATTTCTGTTCTCCGAACACCAATCCTTAATCCTCCCTTCCCCACATTCTCCTATGACGGAAGGGGAGATAACCTTGTACTTTGATGGAAGCGCATTTGGAAACCCAGGTGAAGCAGGAATCGGTGGAATTTTCAGAAGAAGAGATGGTACAGTTATTTGGGCTTTCAGTGGACCAATAGGGATAGCCTCTTCAACAAAGGCTGAAATTATGGCAGCTCTAACTGGAATCAGGATAGCAAGAGGTCTGGGTTTTCAGAACATCACCATAAAAGAAGATTCAGCAAAGACAATCAGGTGTCTAGCTGATCATGGCAGTGGGCCATGGGTGTTAGCACAGTTTTTGACTGAAGCAAGGGATATCCTTCTCAACCTAAATGCACAGCTGGGGTGGATCCCCAGGGAGCTAAACACTGAAGCGGATGGCCTAGCAAATGCTGGTGTTCACAGGGATGTCTTATTCAGTGATAGTTCCCTATGTACAATTATTCTTTAAGGAGACTGTTTTGGGCTTGATTATAATAATACCTAGTTATTTACAATATGTATATGATTAACCTAAACTAAACCCATTCACAAACATGTACACATATATGCATTCAAAAATCCCTTCAAATCCAACCAACCAACCCAGGCCAGCCCAAGCCCAAGTTGCGTTGGGTTAGCTCTAGTTGCACCCATGGTTCACAATTTTAATATCAATGGACATTTTGCCATATAGAGATGTCGAAATTTCGAGAATGTTTCCCTATGATATTTGGAAAATCTAAGAAAATTTGAGGAAATTTTCTAGAAACATGGAATAGGAATAGGTTAATAATAAACCGTCAAGGTATTGTTAGAAGTATGATAGCACATTTAAGGTTCAAAAAACCATAGCGAACAACTATATAAATAAAATAAGATTATATTAAGAGACTTAATGGGCATGTTTCTCTTTGTCTCCCTTTTAGTCTTTTAGCCATCTTCTCTTCATTTTATGTCATTTACTTGCCATTTTGACTTTTGTCTTTTTTGTTACTATATGTTTTCATGAGATTGAGAATCTGCTTTTATAGTTGTGTGCATTTTTCTTTTTATTTTGAACTATAGTGACTTAGTAAGTGAACCATATCAAAATAGTAAGCCAATCATCCAATAACCAGTTCTCCATTGATTTCTTTGGGAAAACATTTAAAAAAATATCATGATTTTAATGGAATATCATAAAAATTTTAATAATATTCTAAAATTTTTAAACCATAAATGCATAATCTATCAACAAAATTTGAAATATCACCAACATATCAGTAAAATAAGGAAAAAAAAGATTCTCAAAAAAAATTCATGTCACTACCTAGCAAAATGGGGAGATAGATTTTAATGAAACACCGCTAAATCTCATTGATATTGCAAGCCCTGGTTGGACCTAGTTTAGTAAATTCAACCTTGACCCCATGTTGGACCAGGCCTAAACCTGAGGTTTGATCTTAAGATTGGACCAGGGTTGACCGTCAACCCAACCCAGCCAGTCAAATTGCACCCCTACCATTTCCCAAGCATAGCATAGTTTATAAGCTATAGTCTACCTAACCCACCTTCCCTCTTATTTTTTCCCATAGTGCTCCATTTTATTAAGTGATCTCTTTTAGAATCCCCTAGTTCCCAAAGAAATTATCTCATTAATTTCTCCAGCTATTGGCAATTTGGCACTAGCAATCTAAACATTAAGTTAAAGTAAGCCAGTAAGTTAGCAAGGGTGGACATTATTAGGGTTATTATTCCTCCTGAGAAGAAATAATTCCTTTTTCATATAGCCAACTTTTTGAAAAACTTGTTCAGGAGAGGGTTCCAAAACTAGATGATCCAGGGTTTCCTTCCAGTGGTAAGTTGATAACCAAAGGTAGCATAGGGCCATTCAAAAAGATGACAGCCTCTAGATTTTTTGGGGCTATTTTTCTTTTTTGTTTTCTTTTGATTCAACCTGGTTTCAATATTTGGAAGAGTACATCTTTTGGTGATTATTGCATTTTTTTTCTGAACTTTCTGGGTTTGGGGGCTGTTTTGATCAGTCCAAAATCTGATCTGGTTTCAAATATTTTTGGATGGCAGAAAATTGCTAATCGTTGTTTAGGGGGATTAACTCCGAATCTGGCCATTTCCCCTTACATTTTAGATCATTTTTCTGGTCCCTTTTATCACCATTAACTCAGTTTTTTTTATATTTTTTTTGGATCTGGACAAGAAGCCCAAGAAATGTGGGCTATATGGGATGCCAGTTAGACCTTTCTGTTGGTTTTACATATAAAACTACTGCTCAAGTGTTTACACATCTGTGTACGCTTTAAGATTCGATATGATAGATTTAGAGCAAGGGGAAGTATTTTTACTGAACCTTGATAGAACAAACTACTCAATGTGGATATTTCACTTTCATTGTTCAAGGGAAAAGTCAAATTCTGTGGGTATGTTGATGGATCAGAAGTTCAATCAAACACCAAGGACAGTTTTTTCTTTGTAAAGGTCTATCACCTAGACAACTAGGCAACTAGTCAATCCACTATTATCAAGAATCACCTAGACTCCTTGACAATGGTGCGAAAAGCATACCAAAGTAGTTCAACAATATGTCATACAGCCAAACATTCACAACAAGGTACTTCCTGATAAATAAATAATTAACCAAATAAAGAAAAGGTCGGTTTCTACCCGAAGTGTACATTTTCAAATTCAATGCTTCCTCCTCTCAATGTTAGTGGTTTTGCATCAGGTCTAACTCCAATTTCAGGCCTCTCCTACAGAATTCATCAAAAGAACTTAAAGAGAACATTAAGAGATAAATATAAACTATGATAAACCATTGGAACAGGATACAAGTTAGACATAGAATAAAAATTAAATTGATGGAATGACAGAAGGCATTTAACTCTCAATAGCAATACAAAGTGTAAATGTAACCAAAATAGCAATAACCTTAAAAAAAAAAAAAAAAAAAAAAACTCTATGCCTTCCTTTCTAAGCATATTTTAGGGGGCCATACTTAATTAGGGGCAGAAGTGTAATTTGCAATAGTTTGATAAGTATATATAAAGCAGCCAACTGGGAGAGATCTAATAATTTAATCTCTTACCCATTGGCTATAAGACAACACCTTACAACCACAACCAAGACAAACTTCTATTGAGAATTAGACACCTGTCACACCTCTTCATTGGTTGCTTGATTCTGAATTCGCTGACAACCATAAATCCCCCCTTTCTCAAAAACATCATAAATCCTCCACTTTATCCACCTATTCTTGCCTGTCTTGTTCATCATTCCACATCTCTCCTCCTTACCCTACTTTGGACTTCTTCATCCTCTCTTCCTTCTTGCTCCTTTCAAATTCTTCAAAAGCTCTTCTAACAAATGCCTCTCTGATGCAAAAGAACAAACCTAAGCTCTTGCCAACCTTTACATTCCTATCAACCAAATTCTCAACCTCCACACTTCCTATCTTGTCCACCTTTTTTTTTCTAATAAAACCTCACCATCTCTCTTCTCTTCTTTTCCACCATCCTTTTCCTTTTCCTTCTCCCTTGGCCCTTCGTTTATCTCTTGATCCTCCTCAGGTGCAGCCAGTAACGAGAACTCCAAACTTGTGGACACTTGAGGCCCGTGAACCCACCCCTGAAGAACTACTTTGTTCAAAAATTTTCTTCCTTTTTCTTATAAACTCTTTCATATTTGTTTTCATGGCCTGTCCCAACCAGACCTTTTTTAAATGACATAAAATTTTAATAGCATGCACTAAATGAGTTTTGCTTGAACCTCAAGCATTCTTCAACACCTCCAAATCGGATTCAGCAGCCAACCCACTACCACCTTGGAGTCTCCTAATAGTAAGCTCTCCACCCAAAGTTGGTTAGCAATCTGTAGGCCTTGTACAGCTGCTAGTATTTCAGCCCTTGTTGAGTCTCCAACTCCCACTGGACCTGAGAATAAAGAGATAATGTTGCTGTGCATGTCTGTCAAAACCCCTCCAATGCCTTAGGGCCCTGGGTTGCCTTGGCTACTACCATCAAAATTCAGCTTTACAACCCCTTCTGGAGGAGGTGTCCACCTTGCTTGTATTCTAGTATTCTTAGAGGCTGTGGATGCCACCGCTGCCCAACCCCTTCAAATATCATAATAGGATTAATCCACAAACAAATAAGAAGTTTTCAGCCAAGAGATGGTCCTTGTTAAGATACTCTCCTTAACTTCCTCAGGACTCCTTTCTTTTTCTTGGAAAATGCTGGCATTCAGTTCTTCCCAAGTAGTCCATACCATAGTTGCTCTACATTTCCACATCAGTTTTCCTCTCTTCATTGGAAAGCAAGTTCCACCTACACCAAAATCCAAATATCTGCAGTAAAAGAGCAAGATAGCAGAAAGTGGTAATAGTCCTCATTCTGCACTTTACACATTGTACACACCAGTCTGGGGATAAGCACAAATAAGGTTTCTTCTTTTGTATGTTATCCAAAGTATTACTCTTACCATGATTAACCTCCCAACAAAAGACTTTTTTTTTCACCAAGGCACAAACTCTTTTAACTGGATTGAGATGGCCCTTGACTCTTTCTCTATCATCCATTCTTTATGTTCCTAAGCTTCTTTTCAATCTCATGTCTGTATATTAACCAAGTCTAAACTGTTCAATCACATCCCCCCCCCATGTTTTTCAAGATACAAGATGGAAATGAAGATTGATGGAGAGAGCATGAAGTTGATGGGTTGTATGATCTCTAAGGTGAAGGACCAAAAGTGGCACTTCAATCCTCTTTCGCACCCTTCTAGTGGTTCTAGTGCCATTGCAAACTTGGTCATACTTCTCTTCAAATGTTGGAGTTGTTGGTTCCATCCTTGAGTCATGTCTCTTCTTTGGAGTTGAGACATATCAACTAGGTAAACACTATCAAGTGTCTTTGAGTCCTAGAGTTGTTATTATTTATTAGAGTCTTAAGTCCTTTTTCTTTTGTTCATTCAAATATTTGGGGTCCTATTAAAGTTGAGTCCTACAATGGTTTCAAGTATTTTGTAATCTCCATTCATGATTACTCAAGAAAGACATGGATTTATCTTTTAAAAGAAAAGTTATAAACTGTTAACAGATCCATTTCCAGTTTCAAGTTTAGACCTTCCAATTCCATCAATGAAAGGTAAAAGAACTTGCACTATTCATCTTATCTATAGTTTTGTATCTGTTGAACATTCATCCCCATCCTATAAATAGTTAGTCACATTGTTATCCTCTATTTCTATTCCTATGACTATTCAAGGAGATCCAGTCTCACCTAGTTGGAAGAAAGCAAAGGAGGAGGAACTATATTCTCTAGTAGACAATAGTACCCAGGAACTTGTTTCCCTTCTTTGAAGCAAGGCTCAAATTTAAAAAAAAAAACAAAATAAACTCAAAATAAATTAAGAAAATATAAAAAACAATATTAATAAAAAATGCAAACTTAATTTTAAACTAAATAATTTAAAAATCTCATTAACTCAAATTAAAATACATAACCATAACATACAAAACATATTCAAAGTGAAAATGCAAACTATAAAATCAAACATTGCATATATATAACATATTTTTGATAAATTAGCATATATAACATATTCAAACATGTCAGTGTTTCAATTTTGTTTATTTCTTTCCTAACTATATTATTTCAAATAAATAATATGATGGTAAACATATTTCATTCCTATTTCTATGATCCACCTTTGTAACAAGCCCCTTGAAATGTGCCTAATTCTATAAACATATTTCATTCTTAGGCAAGATGCAAACCCTAAAAGCAGACATTTAGAAATAGTTGCCAAGATGAAATGTGCCTAACAAGCCCCTTGTTACAAGCCCCTTTGTAACAAGCACCTCGCTTATGCGTCCAAGCGAACTTTTTAAACCACTGGGTTATACACTCAATTCTTGCAGATGGAAGTGTAGAACACCTTAAAGACTAGTTGCCAAGGGATACATTTAGAAATATGGGGTAGATTATTTTCAGGCATTCTCTCCAATTGCAAAGATTAGTTCAATATGTGTACTTATCTCTTGAAACTATGTAGATTCACCACTCCACTAGCTTGATATCAAAAATGCCCTTCTTCATGGTGATCTACATGAAGACAATTAAATGGAGCAACCACCAGTTTTATCGCTCATGGGGAGGCTGATAAAGTGGGTACACTATGGACAGAAATTTATGGGTTGAAGTAATTTCTACAAACTTGGTTTGGCTGATTTAGTGAAGTGGAGAAAAATTTGGGATCTAACAACACAATGTTGATCATTCTATCTTCAATCATGATTCAGCAACAAAAAAGATCCTTCTAGTGGTGTATGCTGATGATAATATGATATTGTCATCACAAGGAGTGATACTCAAGGAATAGGAAAGATAGAAAAGGTTCTTGCAAAAAAACTTTTAGACAAAAGATCCTGTCAAGTTGAAGTACTCCTTAGGCATTGAAGTAGCAAGATCACAACATGGCATCAAGTTGAAGTACCTTTTAGGCTAATTTTATTTGTTTCCCATATAAAAAAAAAATTATAGTTTCCTCAGAAATGGTTGATGAAGTTGCACTGAAGTTATATTAGAAAAGTAAAAACAGATATGTTTTATGGAAGAAAACGAAATGTGCCCATATTTTTTGTAGTTTCTTGTATGACCATTTTTTGTAGTCAAATTCCATGATCAAGAGGCTGTAATTAAAACTATCAGGGGAGTTTTTTGAAATCAAACTATAAATCCTTGCTAGTGATGAAAATGCAGACATTAGAAGGGACAAAATGTAATTACAAGTTTACTTCAGGGGAAAGAATAAAAAAGCACCTCAAGTAATTGAAACAATGATTTCATGTCAATAAGACTCTGTCTGGTCTCTCGGTACACACTCCCAAGGAAGTTGAGAGGAAGAGATAGCTGGAAGAGAAGTCCATTTACCATAACCTGTGCATTCCAAAATTATGATTTAATTCTCACAATCATTGTTAAAACACAAAAAAAAAAGTATCCTGCGATAAATTCTGAAAGAGCTAGAAGTTAAATGAGTGAGCATTACCAAATCACCAACAGTCATCATGCCATTCACAATTCCATGTGAGCATAACACCATTGCCGTTGATAGAGCCATGCTAAATATCACATTTTGGCCGAAGTTCAAGAGAGCAAGACTACTTTGAGTTTTTAAAGAAGCATCCTCATACCCTGAAGAATAGCATTACCATATGAGTAAACATAATTATAAAAATAATACAAATATCGTGCTACAGCTCTGTCATTTTGTTAAAGATTGCCAAAGTGACAGAATTTTGACCATGGAAATTAAATCCGAATATTCAGTAATATGAATAACAAAAACATGATCCAATTTCAGACTAAGATGAACTAGCACTAATGCAAGGAAAATAAAACCTTTCAGGATTCAAAAAAAGAATAGCAGTAGATGACGTAGACAAGAGGTCCAATATCATCAAAACTTACTCTTTAAAAATTCATCATACTTCTCAGCTTCAAAAGCCTCATTGTTGAAATATTTGACAGTCTGAAAACAAAAAAAAAAAAAAAAAACAGTGCATGAGGAATAAGAATCATATTCATAAAGAAGAAACAACAAATTTGATATAATAGAAAGAAAAGTATATAACATGAAACAGTAAATACAGACAAAGGTACCGCCTCGCTCACCTCATAATTTATAAGTGAATCTATTGCTCTTGTGCTTGCATCATTATCAGCTTTATTCATGACCTGCCTAAACTTAGTCCTCCACTATGAAGGACAACAAAAACCTTTAGCAAAAATGATAACCCTGATCCCATACTTTACAAAAATAGAAGAAGAAGAATAAAACCCAGTTGATCCTTAGTCTACATAAAAAAAAAAAAAAAAAAGAAAAGAAAAAAGACTAGTAGCAAGGACCCTATTCTATTCTGAAAGATAATAGATTTACCAATTAAATTAAACTCCAATGTTATGAGGTAGTATTGAATGCTTACCTGTGTCACAGTTAGGGTAAAAATAACATATGCAGCAACGGATAAAGATGTAATCCATGCAAAAGATGATCCAAACTTGTATGCCAGAATACCTGACACCATAGATATCTGAAAAAGTTTGTGTTAAAACTCAAACCTTTCTTATTGTCAGTCAGCAGAATAAAAATTTATTCATCAAATAAAAATGATCAAATGAACTTGGTGGAGGCTGATCCAGTTAGGGATGTTTGGGGTAAGCCTGTACCAAGGGCTGAAGCATTTGCTTGGTTGATTGTGAGAGGTTGCATTCTAACCCAGGATAACCTAAAGCTCAGAGGTCTGCAGTTTTCAAGTATATGTGTGCTGTGTTGTGCTGGTGAGGAAGATGTGTCTCACATTTTGCTTCATTGCAGCTTTTCATATCCAGTTTGGTCCTATTTCTTCAAGTTTTTCAAGGTGGACAGGAGCCCTTTGGCAGATCCAACTGAAATTTTTAGTTGTTGGCCAAGAACCCGAGGTGGAGTTAAAGTTATGATCCTCTATACATGTATTCCCTTTGCTGTTTGCTGGGAAATATGGAAGGAAAGAAATAGAAGGATCTTTGAGGAGAAAAAGAAAAGTATGGAAGAGATGGTAGCTGTTATTAGTTCGACAGTTATTGGTTGGGTGCTTTTGCTTCCAGAGTTCCAAGGACTGCGGAAAAAATACTTTGGAGCTGAATTTTGGACTTCTCTGAATTCTTAAAAGGAATGCTGAGATCTGTTTTGATAGAAGTGTTGTTTTTGCTTTTTTGTGGTCTTACATTACTGTAATCTGCTGGGGGTGACATCTTTTCACCTAGTTACGATGCACTGTTTTTTCCTTTTAGCAATAAAATTTCTTTTTAATTTATCTTCAAAAAAACTTGTTTTCCCACTTCCTATGGACTTAGTTTTTCTGTGCAAATAAAGTTTCTGGAGTAACTTTGGTAGAGCAATGACTCATTTTGTTCCAAATTCCCAAGAATCTACTCCAACTTAACTACTTAACCAAAATTCAAAACCATCTCCAAGCATACATACATCACTTCTTCAGGTATCATCACCTAGGATCTTGGCTTTAGAAGATGGTTGAGGGTCATGAGTCCATTGTGGCTTTGACTATCAGTAACCGTTTGACAAGGATCTTCCTTACACTTACCCCTTCTAGTTCCAATTAAAGAAGTGGCTTATGAATCAAATGGGATTTGTGGCACAATTCTTAGGGATTTGATCTTATTCTCCAATACACCTTTGGTGTTTCAGTGATAGCATTTTGATACAACCCCACCCAAGATAAGTAATGTAAGATGAGGAGTTCTACTAGGATAAACGTGGTGGGAAGAGGAGGGAGAATTAAGGATCTGAATTATGAGAAGAAGAGATTCAGATCTGAAATAGATAAGACAGATTGCACCTTTAGGGTCTGTTTTCTTCTTGACAAATGGCTGAGAAATATGAGATATGCTTTAAACATTCCATTTTCCAGTGTTTTTTAGCAAGTAAACATGGGATGGACCAAGAAACTAATGAACAAGTTTTCTCAAAAGCCAGGACGCAGGGTCATACAAAACCAATGTGACCCCAGTGAGAAGGGAAGTGGAGAGAGAAAAAAGGTGAGGTCATCTTACTGCTTGACAGCCAAACATAGCTCAAACGGTCAACCGATTGGTGCTTCTCAACCATTGTGAAAGCAACCACCAGATCCAGGATTTTCATAGATCTCTCAACTATATTCATGTATTTTTATTTTCATTTTTAGAGATCCAAGCACGACCAAAAGAGAGGCATCACCACTGTGGCTGCCATGGTTTCTGATGACCATGGTCAGCCTCCGGCAAGTGATTTAGGTTTTCCTTCTTTTAAGTCTTTGATCTGTTCATTTGCTCCCTTAAATCTGCTCATAGAAATTGATCTGAGTTTCCTCTTTTTTCTGTTAAATATGATTATTTTCTCACTTATTCTGACATAGAAACTGATCTGGGTTCCCTTAATTGATCAGTTTACTGTTTTCCAAAATCTCTATTTCTTCAATATTGATTATTGATCATTCTTGGTGGAGAGAAATCAGCAAATTCCTCTATCATCAAAAGTCAGTATCCATGGCAGATTTCTGATAAGATTTTTGTTGAAAAATATTTGAACTCATTCTATTAGATACATAGTTGAATCATTTGATGTATTTCCACGAAACCAGTGTAGGAGATTATTACTGTTAAAGATGTGGCAATTCGTCCTGATTCTGATTCTAGTCTCTTAATTGATCTGAATTTCTGGTGCATATTAATCTTCTGTAATATGGACTGAATTAGAATTGGATGAGTTTTGTAGTTGAACCATTTGCACTTCTCTCTTCATGAAGTAGTTTGAAGTTGGAATTAGATGGTACATGGTACTTGAAATAATTGGTATTATTTATGTTCTCATCTCATAATGTTCAATATATCATCAGTATCTATTCAAGAAACTACTATAAGGATGATGTCTCTTGTAGTCTGCAACTCTGCATTATGCATTCTCATCTATCTCATTCAGTAACAGGAGACTAAAATATTCTCATTCTGTGTTCTCATCTCATTACAATACAATACACACAATGCATTGTATTTAGGAATAGGCAAAATAGAGTTGCCTCCTCACGTGTAGTTTCACTTGGTCAAGCATTGTTGTAATGGTTCTAGATAGATTTTTATGAAATAATTCCTCCTCCTATACCTACTCAAGTGGCCATAAATGGCATGAATACAGTGTCAAAAATGACCAGGCCATAGACTACATGAAGTAAAAGTTAGGTGTGAAGGTTATTAATGCATTTAGACATTCTTTTATCATGCAACAGTGATTTATGTAGATTCTCTACGTCCACTTTTTCCTTATCACCTACCATTTTCCTTACTAGAGCAACTGCCAAAATCCAAGGTCAACAAAATTTTCCTTCCTCCACAAGGTGAATCAACTCACTCTGAATCTCCAAGAGCTCTCGCCTGAACTCAACACTAAAAACCTCTCCAACAGAAAACGGTGGTGTGGCTTCCTTACATTTCCAATCCAACTTCTTCGCTGCAGCAGTGCAGCTACATGCCAGATGTCACCACTCACCAGACAACTTTGAGGGACAAAAATATCCCTTAAATCCCTTTCTCTTGTAAACCTTCTTAAAGATCCTACAAGGGCCACCACCCCAGAGACCCAATTTAAGCCAAGGAAAATATGCACAACATGAATCAAACAGCCACTTTTAGAGATCTTAAATCTCTTCACAGTGCTGCTCTTTCATTCCTCTACAGATAGCACCAGGCCTTTTTTATCGTTAATTTTCAATTTCATTAATTAGGGAAAAGGTATGGTATGTACAGATATGAATTACAAAGGAAATAATGCTATTCAGCCTAAAATTGTTTAGTTAGCTTGAAAAGAAGGGGTTTCAGCTTGGCTAGTTTCTGCTATATGTCAGAAGAGCAAGAAGAGACAGTCTACCACTTATTTTATTCTTGCAAGGTTTTTTTATCAATATTTTATTCCTGCAAGGTTGCTGGTTTCATATGGAAATTTTATTCTCCATTGTTTGGTGTGAAAGTATTTCAGCCAAGTTCTGCAGAAATTTTCTCTTCATGGCCAAAGTTTAGTGGTACCAAGAAGGCTAGAATCGTGTAGAGCTGCATCCCTTTTGCGGTATGTTGATATTTTTGGTAAGTAAAAGAAAATTTCATTAAGAAAACAAAAAAGCAGCTTACAAGCACCAATACAGGTGTTAAGATAACACCTAACCAAACTTCTGCGGTATGTTGGATTATCTGGAAAGAAAGAAACAAAAGGCTATTTGAGAAGAAATCTTCGAGCATTGAGAGGCTGGTGGCAGTCATTGGCAAATCAATTGTAGATTGGATGTTGATCCTTCCAGAATTTGCACAAGTCAATAGAGTAGATTTGGGAGAAGTTTCAGGAAGTGCTTGAATTCTAAGATTGTAATTTTGATAATTTCTTTGGTTGAGTTTTTTCCTGTTCTTGGGTGTTACCTTGACACCCCATTAGCTTGTAATCCGTTTTCTTTTTTTCGATAAATTTAATCCGTTTTCTTTTCTTCAATAATTTTTTTTCTTTTACTATCAAAAAAAAGCTCAGTTAGCCATAATTGGCGTACTTCCTTTTTGTGGTAACTAATAGGCTTACTTCTCCCATACCTTTCAAAACTTTAATTGGGAATTTGGGATACTACCAAGTCCTAATGCCTTTCCCTTCTTCATCCTATTTAAAGCCACCTTCACTTCAGAAAATCTAATTTACTGAAAGCCCGTATTGATTTTAGTAATGGTAAAGTTGTCAATCCTTCATCCACTAGCACTTTCCATATGTTCTTCATTTAACAACTTTTCAAAATAGCTTTTCTAAGCTTCCCTTGATTTCCTCATCTTTTTATCAAGACGCTTTAATCTTCCTCTTTGATGCATCTAACATGATTCAAATCTCTGCTTTTTCCTTCTCTCATTTTTAAAGATTTATAAATTCTATTTTCTCCTTTATCATCTAATTTATGAGAGAAGTTCATCACATGTCTTAAATATAGCTTCACTAACTTTCTTTCTGATTTCCTTTTCTTATATTTTTCCAAGTTTTCTATATTTTTAGTCTTTTGCCTAACTTTATAATATGCTTTTTTTATTATTTTTTGAACCTCCTCATTCCACCACCTACCATACAAATAAAATTAAAGACGTAGAAGTTTGATCAAGTATAAGAATAAGCAAGCCAATAGAATTGTACCTCCAAAATAGTGGGTACAATATTAAACACCATTGATGAAAGAATAAAGTTTATTGCGCGGCTACCACGGTCAATTATTCGATTGAGCGCACCTGTTTGTCGACTAGAAGTAACAAAGCCAAGTCAGGAACAGCAATGAAGGATCCACAGCATCCTTCCTTCCAAATACATTATCATATGAAGAGTTAAGCAGTAAACACAGGTTCAAGCAAAAGTAACGGAATGCATCTTATCACTTGAGGAATAATATATTGGATGTATAACAAAAATGCAAATCAGAAATTAAATTGAACCACTTTATTTTGATATTTTAGTTATACCAGACTCTTGGCAGCAAGATTCCTCTATGCTTATGTATCAGAAAGCACCCAATAGAGAGTTATATCTCATGGTATACTGGCACAAGTTCATAAAAAAACAAATAATTGTTTTCTAATTGCTCTATTGATTATGCATCCAGTTATACCAAATATCAGAGTCAGTTCGTCACAATGGAGAAGAAGAGAACAAACACTGTTCGGGTGTGTCAAAAGTGACAGCCCAAATCCAAGAAAAGGGTTTTATACTAAAAGGAGCCATTCTGTCCTCGAGATACAAATAACGTACAAAAGAATAAAAACAATCTAGTGTACAAGAGAGGCACAATATAAGGGTGCTCCCAAGAAATAAAGGGACAAAAATAACCCCTTAACTCTCTTCCTCTCTACACCAAATGCATGAACCTTTGATGAAAAATGTTGAGTTGGTCCGGTTTGTTTTTATTTAGTTAGGAAGTTGTTGGGCTTTAGGCCCATTAGTTTATGTTTTTTTAAGTTGTGACTGTTCAGCTTTTAGTAGCCGCCCTACTAAGGGCATCCTTGTAATATCTCATTTTTTTAAGTCAAGTATAAATATAATGAGAGGGGGGCGGCTAGGGTTAATTTTC